AGAGAAAGGACAAGAGAGAACAAGGAGATGTAACGGCTAAACTGACGAAATTAGAAAACATTTTTTGTCATACATCATCCTCGAAATCGAACGCTAACATTAGCAATGTTGATGTGCAGCGGCAGCCGGAGGCTAACGATAGCTCACCTGCCTCACCACCATCATTGCCATCTAGCTCCACAAGTGAAGCTGTATCCGTGGCCGTGGCTGTGCAACCTTCTTCTCTAGCCAGCCAGCCAGGAGGAGAGGCTGGATTTGGCTGTGCCCGACGGTGGTCCTACAGTCCCCCCAAGGGCCCCAACCGATAGGGGACTCTATGGCGCTATTGAGACCACCGACGCAAAGTTCAAAAGCTATATTATAGCAACCGGTCCATGTAGGCCTACCGGCCCATTCCCCAGAGGCAAACATCAAGGAAACAGGTGTTTCTCCTAGACGTATTACACCACCACTACCAGAGCAGGTATCAAACTGCCACGGACATGGCTGTGTTACTCCCCCACCCTGGACTGTGCCTATTGTGAGCCGTGCTGGCTGTTTGCAGACCGAGGTGCACCGTTCTACACTGATGCGTGGGTGAAAGAAGTTTTAAAATGAGATAATCTACATAATCGCAAAGCGGTTGAAGTGTGGCATTCAAGTAGAAATAAATAATGCTGCGTTTTTTTCTGTGATCATGGACACCACCCAAGATATTTCCAAAAGAGACCAAATGAGCCAAGTGTATAGATATGTGACAATCCAGAGGGATGAAAACGACAACGCAAAATATATACTGATAAACGAGGCTTTCTTGGGGTTTGTGGAAACAGTGGACACGTCAGCCCGTGAACTCCAAAAGAAAATCCTGGACAGCATAGAGAGTAGCGGATTTGACCTGAGCAAGTGTCGGGGCCAGGGATACGATGGCGCGCTGAACATGAGTGGGGTCTATTCAGGTGTGCAGGCCAGGATCATGGAGATGGAACCGCTTGCCAAATATATTAGGGGCCGCACATACATTCTCCTTTTACATACATATATTTTCACTCTTTCACACATACATTCTCCTTTTACATTCATACATTTTCACTCTCATATACATATATATTTACACTCACACATTTATACATTTTGCTCTCATATTATCATATTTCAATGCACACATTCATACATTGTCACTCAGATATTTATACATTTTTCACTCACACATTTAAACATTTTGCTTTCGTGCACATTCATTCAATGTTTACATTTAATATTATAAATAATATATGCATGTCTGAAGACAATATATGTATGCAAGAGAAGAATGTATGTATGTGGGAGATAAAGTACAGTGGAAACGGAAGGCAGGTCATTATCGTATGAGAGGCCGTCTAGCTCACAACTCTTGGTCTTGTACTTGGTCTTACAAACAATATCAGAATCTCTCATGTACACCACCAGACTCTTTCACACACCATACCATACTTACCATATACATTATATTATATATATATATGTATATATATATATATATATATATATATATATATATATGTATTACATACCATACTTTCATACCGTCTTTAACGTACTGTCATTCCTTCCTTCATTTACTATCATACTATCATACATAAATAACTATTCTCTCTCACACACAAAAACAAAATCTCTTAAACGCACCATCATACTCTCGTACACACACCACTATCGTCTTTCACATACAACTATAATCTAATAGAACATTATAATAGTGTATGTGAAAGAGGATAGTAGTATGTGTGAATAATAACCTATATAAGAGGGAATAGTATTTCATGTTAATAACAATAGTTGTATATGTAAAACAGAATAGCAGTGAATGAAAGTCCGAATAATAGCTTATATAAGAGGTAATAATAGTTCATGTGAATATAGGTATGTGTATAAAACAGAATGATAGGGTGTGTGCATAAGAATAGTTATGTGTGTGAGAGAGTATGATTGAAAAGGAAGTGAGTATGATTGAAAAGGAAGTTGGACTAAATTCTCAGTTCCTGATTGGCTCTACGTTTTTTGTTTGACGGACACCGCCCACCCACATAGCGCCATTGTGAGATGAGAAAATGGTGGAAAGGGAGCGACTTAATGAAGCCATAGGCCTCTTAAATAATATTTTAGATAGGCCTTCTCCAAATGTTGTCACATCGCTGTCAGGATTGATGGATCAAAGACGACAGTCAACGTCGTCCACAGTAGGCAATTCTAGTGCGAGCGTTGACGAGGAATTGCAGCGGGCCTTCAGACGTGGATCAGGTGCATCAGGGAGTGGCGGTGGAGCCTCATTAGGCGCCAACCTGAACAAAGTGCTGCAACCCCGATATCAAATTCAGCAGTATTTTGGGGGATGGACTTCAAAGTCAAGGAAGCGGTACGTTTATTTTTTAAATGTCAACCGTGGTAATTTTAATATGTATGTTGTTGATTGAAGCCAACGTTTCTTACTGCTTGAAGCTAACGCTTCTTAGCCTACTATAGCGGGGCAGTCAAATGTTAGAAACGAGACTAATCACAGGGTTCCCGCGGGGTCTTAAAAAGTCTTACATTTAATAATCAGAATTTAAGCCCTTAAATATGATTAAAAAAATTAAGAAAGGTCTTCAATATGATTTAATAGGTCTTTGTGGCATATTATTTCAATGAAAGATGAGCAGATCGCCACTGGGCTTTCAACTAAAGACATATTGATGTGTGCTGATTCTCTCGCGTCCAGGAAGAAGTTTAAAGATTAAGAGACAAATGAGTCTCTGTAAGGGTTCAAATTGGTTACTTTAATTTAAGCAGCGTGGTAGTGAAACAAACAAAGGGTAGTTGGGGAGACAAAAGCAGATGTTGTCCCGCAGCTGGTACCGTGGAAAGAGGCCGAGCACACGTTGATTCTCCCGCTTGCGTCTCTCCTTCGCTCCTCCTCTCTGGGGGCTGTGACGTAGGGGGCCGCCCACCTCGGTCTTCAATGTCCGAGATCGCGCATAACAGAGGATTTCGACATTTTGTATTCATTGCTCACTTCCACACGCCTTTTCTCCTCCTACTCTCTTTCATGACTTTTTATTTCATGCATTATAACGGCTGTAATCGTTATTGTCGTAATATCGGAAGTGGTCATTATTTAACGGCTGAGATCGTTGGTACTGTAGCACAGGAAGTCGTCATTGTTGTCAACGTCTTTAGATACAGCTTTTCAAAATAAACTTTACTCAGAACTGTTTTCAGAATAAAACAGTTTTTAAAGCTTACTATGTGTTTACGCTAAATTACATCATCGAATATTAATTTTAATTTCTTACAGACACAGCCACGCAAAAACTGCGGCATTTGTACAGCTCATTATGGGTACTGCAATTTGTGAAGTGCTTTCCTCTGTGGTAAAACGATCAGCACTGCACCACGGAGGAAAGCGGCAGAAAGTCACCTGGAGTTAAACAGAGCGGGGCTGCGTTGCGTGCATGGCTTCCTTCTGCAGGTAACGGGGAGACGCGCTCTGGCGGCGGTCTCGTTCAGGATCCGAAAATACAATTTAAATATTTTGCACACTTATTCCACTTATTCCTAGTGTGCCACTGGTTACGGTGCCGTAGGACGCTAAATACCGTAGCCAAACACCAATCATACAATTATATTGAACGTGAATAAGTTTACTTTGTAAGTAATTCTGGGACTTATTTCTTCTTTCATTGCAATTTTCAAATCAAATCAAATCAAATCAGGTTTTATTTATAAAGCACATTTAAAAGCGATTTTTGGTCGAGCCAAAGTGCTGTACATGTAATAAAAAAACATTACCACAAAACACAATAAACGACAATAAATATAAACATAACAGATATAACTTAAAAAACAAAAGAAGAATAAAACACACGGAAAAGTCAGGAGTCATGCTCCGCTCTAACTAGAAAGCCAGAGAGAAGAAGTGTGTTTTTAGTTTTGATTTAAAAACCCCTAGGGTCTGGGCCGACCTCACATGGAGGGGCAGAGTGTTCCAGAGCCTAGGGCCAGCTGCTGCGAAGGCTCGGTGCCCTCGGGTTTTTAGCCTGGTCTTGGGCACTACCAGCAGCAGCTGGTCAGCAGACCTTAAAGCTCTGGCTGGGGTGTAGCGCTGGAGCAGTTCAGTTATATAGGCCGGAGCCAGCCCATTTAGGGCTTTAAAAACAAATAAAAGGATTTTAAAATCAATTCTGAACCGAACTGGAAGCCAGTGTAGTGAGGCCAGAATAGGGGTGATGTGGTCGCGCTTTTTGTGACCAGTCAGCAAACGTGCAGCAGCGTTTTGGACTAGCTGTAAGCGTTTGATTGAGGCCTGGTCCATACCCACATACAGAGCGTTACAATAGTCCAGTCTCGAGGTTACAAAGGCGTTAATAACCCTTTCTAAGTCTTTAAAAGATAAATACGACTTGGTTTTGGCCAATAGTCTTATTTTAAAAAAGCAATTTTCCTTCATACTTTCTTGCCGTGAAATAGGTATTAAATTATATTCAAAGTGGTCTTGCATTTGAGTTTTTGAAACCTGCAGGAACCCTTATTCAGACCATAAGCTTAATTTCGATACATTAATGGTTGGGGATAACGGTATCGGCTAGTTGCACGGGATGACGTATTTCCATTTCCGGTTCATTGAGTGGGCGCTTGTAAACATCCGGTCTACGGTAGAGCGGGTAGATAGCGAAGCAATATAGATAGCGATAGAGAGATAGATAGAGAGATAGATAGAGAGATAGATAGAGAGAGAGAGATAGATAGATAGATAGAGAGAGAGATAGAGAGCGAGAGAGAGATAGAGAGATAGAGAGATAGATAGATAGCAAGATAGATAGCAAGATAGATAGCATACAGATAGCATACAGATAGCGCAAAGTGAGAAGGCTAACGTTAACGTGATGGCACTATTTTACACTCGATGTCTCCAAGACCTACCGAAGGTTAACATCAGTGACGTACATCGGCTGGTACAAGCGGCAAGCTCAGCCCCGAAGAGCAAAAGAGAAAAGGGGTTCAAGATGTACATATCCAGTTACATCGACAACTATGAAGGTAAGTGACAAACAAAGCTGTAGTTACTGGCTAACTTTGACAACTTGACCGTGTTGATACAGTGTAAAGCGTTTTAATGATGTACTATTACGTGTTTTGGATAACATGAATGATGTCCAATTCCCCACAGTTTCAAACAAAGATCTACCTTCAGGGAGAGTGAGCGTCAGGGCTAGCTGTTACAGGTCCATGAGGAAGCATGAAAAGCCTCACGATCTCAGAGTAGGGAGGAAAATAAAAAGTGTTCATCGGTTCAAAGCCTCAATCAGGTTCATGTTCTGGGGTTTTGATGTGGCTAGAGTAGGTAACCTGTGATTTAGGATTCAAAAAAGCCCAGCTAGCTGACGTGTTGCAACAGATTGCATAGTGACAATAAATTAGCTCACATCAACTGGTAGCTAGCTATGTGTGTGTAGCATGAAGGGGCTACAGATTTATTTTCGTTTTGTAACCCTCTCGTGTAAAATGATAAATACATTAGCTAAACCCAAACTTAGCTTTCATCAAAGATTCTTAATGAGAGGTTGAAAACGTCTCTGCTTTCATGGAAACCCCAGAAACTGGTTGTGACGGCTGCTGTTCTTTACTGTATGGTTAGTATAATCCATGTAGGGTCCAGTTATTTGTATGGGCCAGTGTTAGGTAAGTGCTGGTTTTGTACCCTACATCTATGTTAAGCTGTTCAACGTTCTACTAACACTATTTTATGTAGTTATAATATAATAAGATAATAAATTGAGACAGCTGAGAGAGTTTATCTGTTTGAATGTCCTTAAATTACAGTATTCCAAACAGCAGAACTTCTGTGTATGTGATGTGACTGATAACCTGACATGGTTTAGCCTTTTCCCACACCTACTACTTGCCTGATCAGCCTGCTCTCAGCTTTCTCATTGTTCTGTGTTGTATTGAAGCAGTGTTCTAAATGTAAAATGACTGACATTTTATTTTAATGTGTAGATTGTCTTTGAGAACTGCTCACCCGTGGAGATTGCAGTGGCAAAGTGTTCCTGTGTAGCTGGAACAGCACTCTGCAACCACAATGTTGCTCTGCTGTTCCAGACCGCACACTACTCCACACTCAACCTGGCTGCTGTACCCCCTGTCCTCAGCTGCACTGAAACAGAGCAGCGATGGCACAAGCCAAGAACCATGGTAAGTACAGTATGTGTTCACAACCAATCCACGGTTTAATGAGTATTTCCTTTGTGCCAAGAGCTGATCTAGTATGTTGCATCAATGACCATTTCAATTAATTTGACAATTCTTTTGTGTAATTAATAGGGTGTGAAACCAGGCAGAGTGAGTGACATGGTGTTCATTTCCACTAAGCCAAAGCAGTTTACAGTTGCTGACGGTGTAAGGTAATATCTATTGTCCTAAGTAATTGTATGTAGCCTGCAACAACTTTGTGATTGTTGTCTGAGTGTAAAATTGTTCTTAAAGTCCTAATTATTATATAAACATGTTCAAAGGAGTACACGTTACAAGGCCGTGCGGGGGGAGCTGCCAGACCCAGATGTCCTCAAAGTCAGCGAGGTATACAAGGACTTCTCAGCAGACATCGCACCACTGATCACCACCATGGCTATAAGTGTGGACGTGCCACTGGTTAACTCCACCTTTGGAAAAGTTCAGGAAGGTAGCCCTATCTCATACCAGCATCCACTACCTCTTAGCCGGGTTATAGTGCGTCACCCAGATGCCCCTCCACCACCTGTGGATGGCTATAGGCTGGAGCCTACCACCTGTGAGTTTGTGTGCAGTCACCAACAGCACCTCCATCTACTGTCACTTGCGACAACATTGCTCATGGCAAAGAAAATCGAGGTGGCCACAAGGGAGCAGAGCGACAGTGTGGAATGGCACCGTGTTAGGAGGCCAAGAATAACTTCTTCCCGTTTCAGGGAAGTATGCCATGTTCGAGGTCAGAGTTCGGCTGAAAACTTGGCACAACGGATTCGGAAGGGAGTGGCGCAAACGGCATCAATGAAGAGGGGACTGGCACTGGAACCGGTTGCCATCCAGGAATACTGCCGGATTAAAAACACCAATTACTGGCCGTGTGGGTTTGTCATTCACCCAGATGCCCCCTGGTTAGGGTCATCTCCTGACGGTCTGGTGTTTGACCCAACTGAGAGCCCACCTTTTGGACTTGTTGAAATAAAATGCCCAAATGCAAAAAGTTATGTGGACTGTAGCTACTTAAAAATGCAAAGTGGCACATTAAATATGAAGCAGTCTCATAGTGTTGGAGTAGAACACCTCTGCTACGCGCCGTTCGTTGGATGAGGCTGGATCTCTATTAAATTAAGAAAGGAATTGAAAACACCGGAATCAAAGTTATAACAAATTATCTGAGTTTACTTCTAGTAGGAAACCAAACACATATACAAGTTATACAGAGTACTCGAGCACTCCGGACTTTCAGGTTTGTGATGCGATGCGGATAAATGCGTCGGGACCCGCCAACTCATCAAACGAGATGAAAGTGACTTCAGGTTTGTGATGCGATACGGACACAGTTATCAGGACCTGCCACTCACCAAACCAAAAAAGCATTTTTACACACACAAACATCAGTATTTCTATCTATTTTTGGGGCGGAGATTTGTCGAGTCTTCCTTCCCATTTTTCTCCCAAGCGAATTAGAGAGCCCCTGGGGAGGAGCTGTTTAAACTGACCACCTCCCCCAAGTGCCCTGACTAGCTGGATTCGCTTCTGGCCGGGTTCAATCAGAGGTCTGACCAGAGAGTGAGATCCCAAGCCACACCAGGTCAAAAGTCAATGTTTATCTTTACCTTATCTTACTCTACATTCCTTTCCCAGGGGATATTTTCACCTAAACTATCCTCCTTCAGACATTTAAACTCTTCTCCACCTATTTAACAATGTCTTTAATGACTTAACAACCGCATCTGGCTTTTATGGATGATAAGAAGGATGTTGGTGTGTTGAAACACAGAATCTCTGGATCAGTGAGTTTGAAAGTAAGAATAACATTCCTATTCTAAGTGACTTATCAAAACCCGTTTGTGATTACCTAAAACAGTTCAAACAATACATGTTTACTTCAATACAGTGTAGAATCATATCTTTTTACTTCAATAGCTACTATTGGCAGGTGCAAGGCCAGCTCCTACTCACAGGGATGGAGTGGTGCGATTTCGTCGTTTTTGCAGAGGAGGATATCCTTATACAGCGTATCTGCAGAGACTGCGAGGTGGCTACAACCATTAGGGAGAAGGGAGATTATTTTTATTTTTATTTTTACATGGACTGATATGCACTACACTACATTAGTGTACCACACTACATCACACTACATTACTGATCTAACATGAATATTTTCCTGTATATAGTTCTTTCAATTGCTAAAACCAGAACCAAGTGTGTTCTATAAGTCAAAAAGATCCTTTAGTCAAAGGACCTATGTGAGGAAGAAAGGGGTATTTATTGGCAGACATTTAATGTCATATGACGTTATTCATTAACAAAAGTTGTGGATGCTAACTAACTTATCTTGCATTGATCTGTTCATCTGTTACATAAACTAGCATTACTTAAATATGCAATTTTTGAAATAATTGAAATGTTTAAATATGTATTTTTCCCCCCCGATATAACATCAACCTATGTTTTGTAAAAGTGTATTAAATGAATCTGTAAAATGTTATCATATTGTGGATTTATTATATTATGTATTGTCCTATGTTATTTTTGTGTGCATTTGTTTTGAGGTTATAATTCATTAGTACCTAAACATAGTATGGTATGACTGCTTTTTGTAACGACCACAATGAAATACACAATTGGTTTGGGAGCAAGAAATCTTTTAATCATTGCTGCCCAGGCTTGCCCATGCTTTCACCAGTGGTCCGTTCTGGTAGTTGACCAGGAAGCAAGCCACATTGAAAAGCTCCTCAATGCTTCCACACACAGACAGTGGTATGGCTTTGTCAAAGAGTTTGTTCTCTTTGACCCTTCTGATGCACCTCTCCACATGGACCCTCAGACGTGCAATGGATTGAGTCTGCCTGACATCCTCCCTGCTCATTTGGGTTTTTTTTTACAGAAAGGCAGGCCGGTAAACTTTGCACTCAACCAGATTGTCCACAAGGAACCCTTTGTCGACCATTATTGCCATGTCTGGTGTAAGCAGGCTCACGATGCCAGACAGCTTGAAAATCTCCCGGTCACTCATAGATCCTGCATACAGGCCAGACACAAATGTAATGGCACCATGTGGTACCATGCCGATCATGGCCTTGAATGTAGCATGTGACTTGTACGTTGAAAACACCTCACTCTGCAGCAGGAGAGATGATGGAGTCTGGCAGAATACTTCAGTGCAGTCAAGCACCACTTGTGTGTCAGGGAAAGCTGAAAACTCTGGTGGAAGGTGAGCTCTGACAACTTCGCGTGGGATCCACAGACGTTGGCTTCCAAGCAGTTGGTACAGGAAGTGTGTCCAGGTGGAAATAATTCTGCTGACTGTGGTGCGGTGAATGCCAAACCGTTCTGCTAGATCCCTCAGATGTAGGCCCACTGACAGGTGCATGAGGAACAGCAGCAGCTCATCTATGGGTGGAAGTTTCTGTGAAAACAAATAAGTGTTAGGCATACTGTAGATACTGTTATAGGGAGACCGGGTACAGTTGTAACACATTTTCCGTTTGTATGTGTGTGTGTGTGTGTGTGTGTGTGTGTGTGTGTGTGTGTGTGTGTGGCATGTGTGTGTGTTGTGATGCACTTGTTAAACGGTGGTATAGTGCGCAGCGTGCATAATTATTAATATACATCCATGCTTGTATGCTGCATACCGTTGTTGTTGGTTGAGAGGAATCCGAGCTGCTGGCAGAAGATGCCTTGGCGTTGGTGATCCGCACCATCTTGGTGTTGGCTGCTGGCTCCACCAATTTCCAAAAGGCAAGGAAATGCTTGTATGTGGCAAATCTAAGAATGTAATATTGTTCATGTTAGACATTGTTTTGTTTCTTAAATTAGCTTCCCCAAATGAAAGGTGTTTTTCAAACTAGTGGCCATAACAACATCCTGATAGCCTTATAAACAAACCTGGTGTAGAAACGAATGTCCTCGTCCGACCCTGCCAGGCGTTGTATCCCGAAACGAGATCGCAGTTGTAACACTTCCAGCTGGTGTTGGAGCTCCCTAACCTGCATTTTCAAGGCTTCGTTCTCGTCGGCCACCTGATTTGCCATCACTGCCGTCGCGGGATTTAAACAGTACTCATGATCAGGCAGCGCAACTGTTTCCACCTCGTACTCAGCTGTCAAGTCCGGGGTGGGGCTCTCTGCCCTCGGCCGACGCTCCCAAACATTACGTCTTGGTGTAGGTAGCTCGTAGTTATTCCATGCAAAGAGAACAGGTGTAGCTCCTTTCTGTACTCTGTGCAGTCCTCCCGCTGTGACCAATAAGTCTCCTGGTCGAAAATGCCTACTGCACACACGGGTATTTTTTGTGGGGCTGAAATTGTCCCTACGGACCTTGATCAGCCACTGAGCCTTTACCTCAGCATCAATGGGAAATGCATGAAAACTTATCTCCCGATTATAATGGGCCGAATTCGTACACAGTGGCACACAGCAATGTAGTGCCGACTTTCTTACCCGCTGGAAGGCCAATCGCTTTTCTTTACCCCGAAATCCGCTCATTCTTGCTCTTGGTGTGTCATAAGAAACTGTCAAACTGTCAAACTGTCAAGCTGTAAAAACTCTACTCAAACCGGAAGTACTCGCCCCCACACCCACCCGCCAGAAGTTGATAGACGCCATCTTGTGCACAGAGCCTATTACCTTGTAACTGCGACTGGTACTCCTACTACTAATGATAATACACTCTCAGGCCCTGCTGTATTATTTCTCACATACAGTTTTTACTTAATTGTTACAGATTTAATTTAATTTTCAGTTTCTCAGTTCTCTTTTAGTATTTTTTTTAAATCTAATATTGCAAGTGTTTTTATTGTTTGGGTGTGGGGGGGGGGGGGTTGTTGTTTTTGTTGTTTAGTTTGTATGTATATTGCTACTGGATGTCAACATTTCCCTCAGGATCTACAGAGTATCTATCTATTCTATCTAATCTATCTATCTAACAATAATGATGCTTTCTTTTTTAGGACCACTGGTGTTGGGTTCAGAATTCCAGAAAAGACAGACAACTTTTAAGTTGAACTATTTATTGTAAAGAGAGCAAAAGATATATATTACGCGGCTCCCATACAAAGTCAAGGCCGGTGCGATGTGCTGTTCTGACTACCTCTTTGTGTTCTCTCAGTCTCTGCACTCCACCTTGCTACTTTCAATATTGCAAGCTAAACACTTTCTCATGTAACTTTTCCCTCCGTTCCTGTGCTCCCCATCAAAACTTGGGGGGGGGGGGGGCGTGATTGGGTCCATTTATTCCTAAGTCACAGCACATACAATGAGCACAATAAGCAAATAATGTAATAATAAGAATCTTGTAATGTTATATAAAAAATAGACTCCACACTGGCACTGTCCAAAATCACCCCACCTTCACCAAGGATGTAATTCTGTTACCTCATCCAGAATGGGATGCAGTTTGTAAGCACAAAACAAAGAGAAGGCTTCATCAAAAAGGCTTTATTTTAAATGCCTTCGAGATGAAGAAAATCTGGGACTGCAGGACAGTCATTGCTGAGCTAAGGGAAGCATTCAAGGACAACATTCCAGAGGGAGTCAGGTATTGTCTGAATATTTAGGCTATGTCTGGTATTGTTCATGAGTTGATTGCTTCAGAATAACTTTATGTATGTGTATTTTCAGTATTGAACTTTTGATGCCATGTGGAAACAAACTTGTTTCACCAAAGCTGCGTGAGGGACAGGAACTGAATGGCTTTCTGATTCACAAAGTGTTTAAAGGGGACCTATCATGCAAAATGCACTTTTGTACGTCTTTTATACATGAATATGTGTCCCCGGTGTTCCAGGGAACTCACCAAGTGTCAGAAAACACAACCCTCTCTATTTTCCTCCATACCCAAATCTCTAAAAAAGGGGCTGCAACGGATCTGATAAAAACTGATCCAGATTTGAACACTGTCCTGACGTCAGGACGGTGGCGCTACGGCTATTGGGCCAACTCTCCACCTATCAGGGGAATGTGGGGTTGGGCCACGGCCGGCCATTGCCGCTCGAAAGCGCTGGAGACGCTGTAGTACATATGCCAGGTCTGTAAGTGGCACTGTAGTCTGCCACAAAAGCAGCAAAGAAGACTTCCCGCCCATGGTTGCCATGGTTACCCTTCTGTTTATTCTCCGCTGTGGCTTTTTTTTCTCCCTCCCCGAGGCAAGCGTTTGCTCCCGCTGCTTTAATTCAATGCAATCCCTCCCCGTCGAGGCAAGCACTGTAATTATCTCCGGTTAGTCCACCACAGATGACAAACACCCACCTCTCCGCCTCTTCCAAAGAACGAGGGGACCGTGCGGCAGAGTTTTCTTTCGCCGGTCAAGATGTCCGTTAAAGTTTAAATCTTCCGGACAAAATTTGAAAAGTGCCAGTCAAAGGTCTTCTTTGTTATTTATTGAGCTTTAAAACAAATGAATAACGACTCTATAGGCATATAATAATATAATAAAACATCGAGGACGGAGATCTATTTTTCTCCCCCTCTTCTGACTTGATCAGAGCGCGCTCCCCTCTCCTGCAGGGGGGCATGGTCAGCTGCAGCTCACAGAATCAGCCCCCTGCAAAAACAGGGCTGGAGAACAGCAAATAGAGCGAAATGAGGCATGGCTAAAATGCATGATCTGTTTGGTATTTTGAAAACAGAAACGTATAAATATACCTTATATAGGTATGGCCCTACAATATATCATTTAAATATAGCATGATAGGTGTCCTTTAAGTCAAAGGCAGTGTACATCAGGCCATCAAGCATGCTTAAAAATACAATAACCAATTTCAAACGATATGAAGCGATACTTATTTTTTTGTAATTTGTTTGTAGCACAGAGGTTTCTTGTTTTTCCAATGAACTTAACCCCTTACATTATGTTTTTTAATAATTTTTTCACATCTTTGTTTGTATGTTTTGTTTGAGTTTGACAGCTCAGATTCAGAGGATGGTATGATGGCAGACACACAATCCACATCCAGTGAACAGCACATTTCCACTCAGGCTACCCCTGACTGTGTGACAAGGGCTAGAGGAAACCAAATTGCATCAACACCACTGGTTTCAAGTTATCCTTTC